TAGAGAGTGACCGAAGAAAGCTTCGTTTGCCCAAGGAAAGGGGCTCTTAAGCCACAGTGTGAAGATCCCACAGACTGCTACAAAAAGGATATAGCACTGGGAATAACAGAAACCATGATTCTCAAATCTGCAGGCCTCCTGTGTGCCTTAAATAGGAGGCTACACAGGTGAGCTGTTGGAGCAAAGTCTGCTACATAAACATTCCAAAAGAATTAATCAGCACAAAGTTACAAACTGAAGTGTAATTTAAGTCTAACAAAATAAAAGATGCCTGCACTAGTATGCTAGCATACAGAATGCAATGTCAATGGTTCCATGATTTTATTCCTGGATTTTGTCACTATAGATCTATTTTCAGCAATGAAAATTATATTTTTAGCCCTATTTCTAGCCCCAATGATTTGTGACATATGTCTTACTTGCACTTAAGACATTCATTACCATGTAAGAATTTCCAAACGTAAAGGTCAGAATGATGTTTTCGTTCACCTACAAACCTAAGGAAAATGGAGGTATTCTTTTTCTTTCTTCCTTTTTTCCCTCTCTCTCATCCTAGGGGCCCTGAATCTCAATGACAAACCAAAGTGACTGAAAAGTAGATGAAAGGAAAAGGCTTTAAATTATGTGGTCTCTTCTACAAGTCATGCTATTTCTGCAGAGTCAGAAATGCCCTTTTTTTTAGTATTAAAAAGCATACCTATTAATCAGCCAAAGTTGTAGCAGCCAGAAAGTACTACAACTCAGAGACTGTAAAATATATCAAAAGCATGTTAGTCAAATAGAATTTTCATCGGCTAGCTGCTTTGCTCAAAATAAATATGTTGTTCAACAGACCACTAGAGAAAATCATTTTCTAAGCACAAGTGACGATGCAGCATGGCTCTGTGAAAGCCCTTTACTCTCTTACTGCACTACTGTATCTGCAGGTTCCACCAATGCAAACATGAAAATCAATGTAACAATTCAGTGTACAAGGCAAGGCCTACGGTGCTGCTAATGTCCCCTTGCTGGACACACACCTTAAGTCTCAGGGCTCTCAAGGGGTTTGCTGTGGAATAAAATTAGATTCCAACATCTGCCACCATTAAGGAAAAAATTCCATTTCCATCTCCCATATGAAAACACTATAACCAATGAACAGTAACTGAACCTTGATACCGTAACGGTTATTACCCGAATCAACTATTTTTTTTTAAACAGTAAAATTAGCAAATTCTGGTCTCCTAATTATTTGAATGTTATCAGACTAAATGTTTGATAAAATTCCAATATGATTCACTTGGAAAAACTGCTGCTTATTTGAATACCCAGAATATAAAGTGTATTCATTTGTAGCTATTCACATTATGTTTAAAGCTTATCATCTTTTTAAAGTTTGCATTAGCCTGCTTTCCTAACCAAGCGCAAAAAGTAGCCACCTTCAGTTTTTACTTGCATATTTTATTCAGACATTTCTATTAGAGTTAAAAACAATTCCCTATCTATTATTCATTGAGGAGACATGTGAAATGGTGGAATCCACATGAGTTGGTTTCTTTTACTGAAAATACTTTGTGCATTAGTCACTGCAGGGCATGCTTTACCTTTTAAAATGGAAGGTATTTATGATACATAAATACATGATAAATAAATAAATCATCCATGTGGAGGACTGAACCTCTTGCTTATTGGCACATTATAAAACGTTACCATTTGGGTGTAGTAGCTATATAATTTAAAAGCTCTTCCGCATACATTGTAGCATGTGACCTTCTATGTTAAAAGAATCCTGGGTTCAAAAGTTAAAATTTCCCAATATTCTAGCACCAATGACACAGCATGGATCAGAGCTGGTCTCCTTTGACTCCTCCACCATGTACACCTACCTCCAATAGGTATGATAAAGTTTGGATTCTGAAGGCTCTGTGTTGGTAAGAACCTTGTGTTCCATGAATGTCAATGAAGAAAGGAAAGCCCTCACTGTTTCTACTATCAGTAAGTCCACTGTCCCTAATTCCTCTTCCCCAGAGCAGGGTATTACTTCAGTGCTGACGCTGCCTTGAACCCTGAAGACAGTCTAAAACAGGAGAAATGCAAAGAATTTGGAGTTGGCTCTGCTATATTTATTAGTTAAGAAACTACTGCGTGTAAAACGCAGAAAATAATAGCTCATAAAGTTACTAAATTAATGTAGATAATCTATAATATGTAATAGGGTCTAGTACAAAAAAACATAATGGTTAAGTCAACCCAGACAACCAGGGCAAGACACAGGAGCAGATGGAAGTAGATGAGCTGAGACAGAAGTGACTCTGGTTCTTCCTGCTTCACACACACTTTGTCTTGGGGAGCTTCTGCCTCATTCTGGCAAGCCCTGACACACATATCTGAGTCCTAAATATATATACTTCAGAAGCACAAAATTTTGACCATTGTAAAAGTCAATCTGATTTGAAGGGTTTTTTTTTTTTTTTTTTTTTTTTTGGTTTTTCTGTTTCCTTCACAAAACATAGCATGAGAACAGAAGCTAAGCAAATGGCCACTTTTCCTGATTAAGTCACGTTTCCTTTCCCAGGTTTTGGATTGCCTCATTTTTTGAGCAATCAACTATCTTTGTACATATTTTCATCAACAGGGTAGTGCTAACATTAAACTGAACAACTAAGACAAGACTACAAAAATGCTCTATTAGGACCTTAGAATAAGTTAGAAGTTGAGAATAACTGTCCAAGGGAATGAAGTTAATAGTTTGCTTGACTCCCATAGCCCACAGTTGGCCCCTTTAATTTTGTCTCAACCAGTAATGAGTAACTAGCTAAAAGCTTTTAGAGTTTTGGAAAACACACCATCACAGAAGATGCTTGAAGTTGCTTACTGACATTGCTGAAATAGAGACCCACCAGGAGCTGTGTAGGACAGAGAACAAAGAGCAGGGATGTTTAAAATGGATTAGAACATCACCTACATGACATTATCAGCCGATTGCTGCTACTGTCTAAACAGCTCCAAAATCAGTAACTCAGCCCAGGACTGGGAGAACCTGAGGTACCATTTAAAAGGATGAAGTCAAAGATCGCAAAGGACCTAAGAATCACAGGGAACAGAAAGAAAAATGGTGGCGGGGGTGGGGGTAGATTGAATTGAATGACAGGTGACAGACAACTAAATACGGTTATTTAAAAGTTTTAATATTAATTTTTGTTTTAATGCTAACCTCTATTATAATAATACATGTCTAGTTTCTCCATTTCGGAGATTTGAGGAAAGTGGGAATGCAGTCTGATTATCACTGATGATTGGACAGGTCAGAACAAAAATGCAGAATCAGAAAGAAAGGCAAGATAATATATATTTAAATTTGAGATCCTCATGATAATTAGACTAACTAGCCAAAACAAAGATGTGTGGGGTGGGCAAGTAGGTGGGGGGAGGGTAAAGTGAGACCAGGACATTTCTCTTTAATGCGTAGTCTTGGCATGTAAATGAAGACATCTGAAGAAGCACACAGGTTTAAAGCGGCTCTAACATTCTATCATAATTAGAAACATTTCAAGAGCCCTGTAATTTCCAATCAAAATTACAGTAATTTCCGATATACAAGCCATGATTCATGACAGAATTTTACATTCCATGAGAGATTACGGTGGCCTGATGTATGACACGCTGAGTACAGCACTAACATAAACAATTCAGTTTAATGTTTAAACAGCACTTGATGTTTAGAATCTCACAATAAAAGAAACATATTATTGTAGAAATTATCACTTTGACAGTGATTGAAGGGTAGGCAGGCATGTGGCCTATAAAGCTATAATTTTTACAGTCCACAGCTTGAGTTTAATCATTTTTATATAACATTTCCAAGATATCCCTTAAGTATTTCATCAAGCCTATAACTTAAACAAGAACAACATTCTTCTAAAGCAAAACTCCTGTCAAGTAATACTATAAATGTCAATAGAGTAAAAGTTTAGGAAAATCTGAAAAGATACTATGTTACAAATATATCAATTGTAAATACTCCCATAACTGTATATTTTATCAGAAGTTGACAACAGCCAGGCTGTTTTATAAAAGAGGATTCATTAATTATAATGAAAATATGCTTGTGTAAAATTTCAAGTTGTTTAAATCTTACCTGGATCCCCTATTTGCCTCTAAATCTCACCTTGATAGTGTTATCAAATCCTTTTTCAAAGGGAAGAGAATTTAGTGTTCTTCTGGTCCTTTAAGAAGTATCTTTGGCTTTGGAGAAGGGTTTATAGGTAACCGTAAGTTTGTTCATGTAGATGATTCCACTTTTGATGAACACAAATTATTAATATATGACAATTATGCTGATAAAAGACTGTACTATCTATCCCTCTGTTATTTAATTTGGTAGAAATTTACAACTTTTCCAATTCAAGTCTATTCAGCTGTAATTCATCAGAGTTGGACAACTTGTAATTGTAACCAATCTGTGTCATGTAGACATCTATAGAAAATTAAAATCATTAATATGCAAAGGTGTGTGTATGTATGCCACTTTGTATTAGTAAGTGCACTTAATAGTTGCAGACAGCTGAACTAAGCGCTCACCACTATACCACCAATGCCACACTAGATGGCTGAATTGGAACAGAAGAAACTGTGTAAAGTTCTGTAGTATATTTGTAGGAAAAAAAAGTCAAGATCATCTAAGCAATAATGAAATAATAGTGATTCCGAGGATTTATTCTACAACAACAAACCAAACTGAGAAACTTACTATGCATTATGATATCCTTCTCAAAATAACTATTAACTGACTTGGATATTTACTATAAAATCCTTGGTCTGGAAAGTGGTTATTAGAAAAAACAAAACCAAGTGCCTATAACCTAAATTTGAATATTGTTTCATTTTAGAGCTCCAGAAATAATCCTAAACACAGAGACCTCTCCATGATGCAAGTTCATACTGAAAATACACATTCCTTTTAATGAAAATTCCACAGGCAACACAGATAAACATTCTCAATGCCTAACAGAGGTTCTTACCTGGCTTTTGGTTGCTGCAACCTTTGCAAACAGTGCTTGAGACACTTTAGCGCGCTTCATTTCCTGCTGAATCTCATCATAAATGGAAGCATTAATGTTCATGGTATTGTTCTCTGGTTTCCCATTCCTCTCAGTGGCAATAGTAGCTGTTTTCACCTACAAAACATTTTGAACATGGCTGTCATTTTTCATTGGCTAAATTGTTTTGAAGCTTCTCAGGCTCAGCATCCAAACTGGACACTGTTGCTCCTTTTATGATCAAGGTGATCAACAGTGCAGTCATTCAGCAATAGTTATTGCCCTGAGATCAGATTGCTTAAGTTAAGGAAGTCATATTGTCACAGGTGATTGCATCTGTAATATGACAGCAACTGCCAGCTGACAACCAGGAATTATAATGCCATAAAGTAAGTTTTCTGGAAAACGAAATAGTTTCAAAGACTTGAAAACCCTAAACTAATTGTCTCCAATTACCTTCCATTGCAATCCTAACAAAGGAAATTCACAATTAAAATCATAATGCACAGTGCCGTATCTTCACTGGTTGCCCGGTGCCTAATAGACAATTGTATCACTAATAGCTATTACATAGTATGGCCTTTTTAATTTTAAACTATTTTTATGCATCTTCCTCTTATGTTTCATTTTAAAAATCTTCCATAACAAAGCCATTTGCAGAACTGCATATTTAAATCTTCTATCCATCCATGAAGCAGGTAGAGTGCCTTGCTTAATTATCATAAAGGCTGGTTGCATTTTACACGTGCATGTCCAAGCTGTTCTGTATAATTATTTCATCTTTTCCTGGCACCCCTGTATATAACTATTTCCTTTTGACTTGCGAAACCAGACAGTAGGATTATGTTTCACAATATTTAACAAAATATTCCTGTGTCATAAAATATATAATCAGTGCCTTTACTAATATATTCAAAAAGTACAACCTTGAGTGAAAAATCAGTATCGATGCCTTTGGTAATAGTGATAAGCAAATATCTGCAGGAAAATGCCACAAAATTTTAGCGGAGGAAATCAAATCTCAACTTCAAAATTTACTATTATTCATTTTAAAAACTCCAAATTTATTTATTATTATGCAATAGTATGAACTAGCCTGAAAAATTTACATGAAAACCATGTAGCGGATTTTTTACTGGGAAACTGATGAAAATATAAATGAAAAATTACTACAGATACAAAACCATGTTTCTTCCAGCAAACTGATCCCTTAAGGGACTCATTTCTTTGGGCACTTTACACAACCCAGGTTTCTATCCTTTAGACACTTACCATCCTGGAAAATTTGTCACATAAACCATGAAAACAGAAAATGAAGTACACTGCAGAATAAACAAATGATTTTTTTGGCTTTAATGATACAGCCTTTGAGTCAAGCCGCAGGTTTTTAAGATTTATTTCACTCTGTTCCTAAAATATTTGATGATTCAATTCTCCATACTTAAAGCATAGATAGGAGTCCCCTTTAAAATGTGCCTGCTGAATACTAATTTCTAGCTAATTAGCAAAATAATTCACCTCTTGCTTATCTTGAGAAAGTAGGTAGATGCTTCTACCATGATATCACCTTTCCAAGCATGGAAAATAAAATGCTGGGAAATAGTTGGCCTGCAGGCCTGAAGAGGACACAGCAGGTAAGGCAGGACAGGTGACCAGAGGTTGGGCCTTCTCTGCCTCCTCTCCAGAGTTCTCCTTCTAGCTTTGTGACTCCAGTAAGCAAGGGCACTCATAGAGATGTATTAATGACTGGAGGCCACTAGAATACATACAGGGCTTTGAAGCAATAATCTGCTAAACACCACTTTAAGAGCCAGAAGAGTTAACGCATTACCATAAATTGCCTACAAAGTTGCTTTGGTGAGACCGAAAACTTTGCTCTGGGGTGGTCTTGCTTTGAGGCAGAAGGATAGATCTGATCACCCCATGGGGTCCTTTTTAATACCTATTTTTTCTCACTGCTTAAATGAAAGAGAAAAGAAAAGCCATTTCAATCGCTTTGAAAATTGAATGTTATGGAAATGGGGGCACCAGGTCCAGGGCACTGAAGAAACAGATCCTTGGTAGCAATCTGCTAAGCAATAGTTAAAAGAACAAGCTTTGGAAAGTTGGTGTTTCAAACTGTTTTTAAAATAATTTTCATTCTTTTGTAAAAATGATGTTTAAGAATTTATCTTTGAGATGGGCTATAATCATTTGTTTCAACCCTGTGACTTTGTTTCTAAAAACTTCTTTGGTTAATTTTTCTGTATTATTATAAAGCAATTACAATCAAAAAGCAAGAATTCTAAATTATCTTAAAAAATGATTTCCTAGTAGCCAACACAATCAAAACTAAAGTGAAAAAAAGTATACAAGAAACATTTTCTTTAAAAAAAAAAAAGAATGTGAAGGTGAAACTTTAACAATTAGAAAGTTAGAAAGTATCTCTGTATTACTCATTTTAAAAATATTTAGAAAAGCTCTTCTTTACCGGCTTCTTGGCCCAGATATGCATCTTATCATAGATAAGCTATTAGAATTCTAGAATCACATTTTTTTCCCCCTAAACACAAGCCATTGCTTAAGGGAAACTGACTTGGACAGCTTTTCAAAAATATGAAAGCTGAATTTTTCCCCAGGTAAAAATGGAAACAAAAATCTTTTATACCTCATTCTACTAAGTACTATTTTAGCTTAGTACAAAAAAAATCTTCTTTAATCCTGGTTTAGCTTTTAATATTATATCACACATTAAAATTCATAAAGTAGTTCATTCCAGGCAAAACAAACTACTGTTCAGCTCTTCTCCGCAAATAGCACAGGAGGTAAAATAAATGCAGTTGCTTTCAGAATAGCTTTTATCAAGGTAGGGTGTACTACTCCATTATTAAGGCGGCGCCGGGGAAGTAGTTAAGGATTGGAGCTTCTACTATTTACCCTCCCATGTGGGGAAAGGGTGCAGTATTAGGGTCTTTTTATTTCACTAAAATTGTGCATCAGAACACACATTTTTCCATGAAAACTCTATTTTGCTTCTTCATGGATTGCTAAGTACATCAAATCATACTTTTAGATTACACAAAATGAACTCTGCTTTGGCCTTGACTGGTGAATGCACTACTCTGATGCATGAGGAACTGCCTGCAAGCACACTGCTTTTACACAAACACAATTAAAGTGTTACATAGTTTTAATAACTGTCATAATAAACACTGACACTTATTAGTTGTTTATTACATGCTGGACATTGTATTAATGTCCATTAACTTCTTAACCTGCATAAGAGCCCCAAGGAGGTATTATGATGGCCTCATTTTAAAACTGAGAAAACTGTTAAAACAAACAGGTTAAACAATTTGTTGGTAGGGCAATGCTGAGATTTAAACTCAACTAGAAACCACAAAGTTATTTAGAGTTCATGACATTACATGGGCCTTCTTTACTTGAAAAAATCCTTCATTTTTAAAACAGGCTGGACTTGCTTTTTGGTGGCCCTCTGATAAATCTAGTTCATTAATGTCTAATTTTTAATAGCTATTGACTTTTTAAATCTAATCTGAATTTACTTTTTAGGATATAAAAATTATAAATGTTTTTAATGAAAATAAGAAATGTCCTATTCTATGGATGCTTATTGGTGAGGAAAAATATTTCCCACTCTCAAACTTTAATATATTAACACTGTCTTTAGCACCATGGTTTAATATTTTTAGATATTTCTTTCTTTCCAGGAACAGTATTAAATATTTTCCAAATCGAGACTTTAATGAAAGTCTTCCAGCTTTTAAAAGATGACAATTAATGGGAAGCAGTTTATAAGCACATAAGCAACATCTTAAAAAGATCTTCAAGGGATTCATAATAAATAAATTTTTTACCAAGTGTTAAGTTCCTGCCTGTAACTGAACCTGAAATCAAGATGAATCTACGTTCCATTATATCGCAGAGGGATTTCTTGTAAAGAGACAGAAATGTGCAACTACCAGATTAATCATGTACTCTTTATATTAACTTCATAAATTTTCTAAAGTATTGTTATAAAATATGACACCTTTAGTAGAAACTAAAGAATTAGATAAAAAGATGTAAAAAACATGAAAAAAAAAGACTTGTGTAATTCATGTAAAAGCTATAACTTAATAATTATATGCTTTCAAACAGTCCTCATGGAAATAAACTGCTAAATTAATTTAACTCCAAAAGTCACACATAGTAAAATGCACAAATAAAACACACACACACACACACACACACACACACACACACACCCCTAAGGTAGATCTCATCACTTAAAATTCTGTAAAATATATAATTCTCAGAAAATAATCATGAATTATTTTTATTGACAAAATTCCTTTAATAAACTCAACAGGAAAACTTTCAAAGCTTATAGTGAAAAGAAACCTTAAGACCAAGGAGCTTGGGAGGCCTGGGTTCTACCAGAGATTTTTCATTAGACTGAAGTTTAAAACGGGCTGTTTTCCCCACAATCCCAGAAATTCCACTGTCCAGTCTTCCATAGTAGATCATTTGTCAAACAAGTGATTTCATGAGGACAATGCTCTAGTACACGCTCCTCTTCCCATTCTAACAATAAAACCTTCCATCCTCTATGACAGACTTTATCTCCAGGTTTCACTTTTCCTTTCCTAAAATAAGTTTCCTTATATTCTGAGGTGGCTTGAACTAGTGGAAGGAGCAAGAGGCTTAGCAAAGGATTGGAAAACTCTTAACTAAACCTTAAACTTGGTTTTCTCATTTTTCTCCTAGAGAAAGGTTGGTTGAAGATTCAATGAATTAATGCATTCAGTTGCTTTCAGAATAGCTTTTATCAAGTCAGGGTGTGAATCATTATCAGGTGCAAAATATTCTTATTTGTTGAATTAGAGCATGTAAGTTGTGAAAACATGCATGCAGCAACCAGGTCTGGCTCAGAGCCTATAGCCCCAGGCAGAGGACGAAGCACCGGGCATAACTGCCTTTACTGGAGCACAAGAGACACCTCTGCGTAGGAGGCACCTCACCTGGACTGGGCCAGCAAGGAGCTTTCGTGTTTCCCGAGGCTAGGTGTCCCCAAGTGGGGCCTGACTAGCCAGAGAAGTTCTTTCTTGAAGATGACTTATAATCTAGGTCCTTGCTATGGTATGCCCCAGGGGCACTCCAAAATCATCTTCTGTTATGTTTTACACTGTCAAGAGCTGGAAGAGAATCCAGTTTCCTAGGCTTTAAGGGGACTGGGTCTTCTGTGAACCACTGAAGGCCTCTGCTTTTAACATGTGATTCTTTAGAAAGAATCAGGTTTCAGGTGCAACCCAAGCCCAAGATTTGTCTCAAAATGGGTTTCAAATCTCTTCATTTGGGGAGAAATGAAATGTATACTGATTTTACATGGACTCCTCTTTGGCAAAATGTAACATTTAAAAAGACGAAATTTTGCAGTCTGTCTGTGGTTTTCTCCAGTTTTCCTTCATTTTAACTCATTTTTAATATGCATACTGGTTCCAGTTTAAGCATTATTTCATTATTTCAACTGTTTAAGCATTATTTCATTATTTCAACTGCTACACAACAGTATTAATTCAACTGCTCTGTAACATGTTTTTCCAAATCTAAAGTATTCATTTTGCATTGACAATACCTTCAGTCCATTAAGAATTTCTTAAAATTTAATTCATTGATTCATGGTTAAAGGAAAGAATGTGAACAAACTGGTAGTGATCTCTATTATAATAATATTAACAATTTAAAGATTTGTATTATAGCAAAAAATAAAATTACACACACACTTATCAGTTAATCATTTTGATGTTTGGTTAGATGGCCAGTAATTCTGCATTAATAGAAATGTTTTCTTTGAAAGTGTTTCACTAAAAATCTACAGAATGTATATACTGTATATGTTCATCATTGGCTAGATACCCTGGCTATGGGCTTGGTCTCAACTCCTCTTCAGAAAAAATACAGCTAAGGGTGGCTCAACCGGTTAATAATTTGAGCAAAAATAAAACGTATTTTCCATCCCAGCTTATCAGCCGATAAAGCCTTTAAGCATACATATAGTAAAGTTATCCAATAGTATCTTAACACCATATGAAAAGAAATATCACTTAGTAAGCACTGGTGTAACTTTAGCTCAATAACAAACTTGATGAGTAAGAATACCAAAATCACATTTGGAAAATAAATAAAACCATTAGAATCTTAAAAAATTAGAAAACAAAAGCTGTATTAAGGAACCACAAAGTCATATATCTGGCTACTTCTTTTTTTTTTTTTAAGCAGCTCAATGTTGAATGAAGTTCATACTGGTCTTAAGTATGCCATTCTTTTATTGGTATAGCAGATTAAGTGGCAAGTGAAGTAATTCTCTGCTCAGAGTTCTGTCTGTGATGACTTCCGGAGCAAAGTTAACTGATAAAGGTACGTGTATTAACACTAAACACCACAGAAAAGGTACTAAATTACTTTATTTCATTTTGAACATTTTTTCTCTTTAATCATTCCTAGAAGTCATAGTTTATCTTTTCTCTTTAACCATTCTTAGAAGTCATATTTTTTATACATAAAGAATTCCTCATTCTTTTTCTTAGGGAATATTTTAGAGAAGCCTTTACAGATCAAATTCCATAACTGTTGTGTGCGGGCAGGTGGGTGTGTACGTATGTATACAGATGCCATGCTTTTCTCTTAAAGAAGCATGACTTTTTAAATACACAATTATAGCAATGCTTTCCTTATAGTCTGTTCCTATAGACATCAAGACCAGATTGATTTTCATTAAATAAAACAGCAAAAACGGATTTTTGTGACATTTCTAAAAAATAAATCGTTTCAGAACCTTATGATAAGCAGTTTAACGTGGCTAAATATTATATTTCTTATTTATGGAGCACGTTGCACTTTCATTCTTTAGTGTTAGATGGGCTTTTTCTAGATTTCTATACATGAAAATGTATGATTACTTTCTACTATTGATGAAAATAAAGTAACATCGAGACAAAATTTCACTGTGACATTGTCATACAAATATTTGGACTTTTTCTTCCATGTTCAATTTTTATCCAATTTTAGGTGACCTTATTTTTAAGAGCTGTAAATGTCACAAACTAAACATATAAGAAAATACATTTGCTTGTGGTTTTGAGTCTAATACACTAACTAGCAAACTTTTATCTAATGGTTTGTAATGTAAATTGATTTACTGAATTTGAACAGTTATGAGGTTACTTTTTAAACTTAGTTTAAAAAACAACAATACAGAGTCACATACCCAAAGTTACCTGGAAGGCGACTTTCTTTCCTAAAAAGTACAAAAATTTAAAGAAAGAGAAAATGTGCCCATATCTTGCAATATGGATAGAATTCCTTATCAGCCCCATTTAAAGTTGCCTTCAAGGATTTTATTAAACTTAATTATGAAAGATTACAAATGAGATGGTGTATAATTGGTACCAGCTGCAGTTCGTATCGGAAAGTATAAATACAAATGAAATTACTTATTTTTATTTATTTACTATTCAAATGGCGATTCTAAAACTAGTTGGGAAAAAACCGACTTTATTCTTTTTCTACTGAGTTTAAAATACTTCTTTACTTAATAACAATAGTAGAGACAAATATCCCATTTAAAGACTACTTTCACCACCAAATAACCCAAAGAAAGAAGGAACACAAAGCAATTTTCTTCTCTCTAGTAGCTTATTGTTTGTATATCAGAATTAATGATTTGGGACCAAATTCTCCTCAAGCAACTCTATGAATTTAAAAACATCTAAATATATGTATCTATCTATCTTATTTCTTACTGAGATTCTTCCTCAAGCGTTAAAAAAAAGAAAAAGAAAAAGAAAGAAAAGGAAAGAAAAACAAAGGCAAAGAGGAAAAGGAGGGAAAAGGAGACTGCACCTGGGGAGGGCGGCTGGGCGGTGTGCTTATCAGTGGGGCAGGACCCATGGCCGAGGCAGCATTCAAGCTCCTTTCCCTTTCGTCCTGGTATATTCGGTCTCTTTCCGCTTCTGGTAACTGCAAGAAATTCTGCATAGCCCGAAGGTTTACCAGCAAAGACTGGGATGCAGTCTTGGGATCTTCTTCCTTTCGGAGGATTTCTGAAAGCAAGCCCTGCAGGAAATGAAAGGCACAGGGTGAGCCTGCTCCCCTGCTTTGCCCAGCCAGCGGTGATCCTTCCCTTTTCTTCTCCACTCTGTTTAGAAAATGAACAGTCAGAGGCATTAATTCTGCATAGGAATATATTAGTTACAATTGAAGTGGTAGAGAAGAGAGCCTCAATTGTATTCTTAATTTTATTAAGCATCTGCTTTACATATAACATAAACTGAAACTGCCTAATTGGTCTCTTTCCTTTGAGTAGCTTAACTTGCCATGAAATCTTTCACAGAAAGACGATCCAGGGAAGTTAAGAATAAATGAAATCCTCATAATGCAACAGCATTGAACTGTATAGTTCTCAAGCTGCCTAGACAAAGGCAGTGGAATGCTTACAGCCCAATATGTAAAGATACAAAGCCATTTCTAGAGAAGTAGAACTTTCAAAGAAAATACCAGAAAATGAATTTTAACATATTAGAACAAAGATTATTACTAAAGCATCACCTAAGGTTTACGTTGTATTTTCACAGGCAATGTTTAAAATTATTCCTTAAACTTCAGCTTATCAAAGTACATGACACCACATGACCCTTTCAATTTACCAATTACAGAGAACCTCCCTGACTATCACAAGTGATTCTAAATACTATCTTGCTGTGTTAAGCCGTTAGGTAACAGGTTTAAATTTTGAACTTTAAAAACCATAGAAAAGATCTGAAATACATTAACTACTTTTCAACATTGCGAAAATCCATCATAGCATGCCAAGAAAAGAGTATCAAATTCTGTAATTATCAAATTTCTTAGGGAATAAAAATTGTTATTAGTAATAGAAGAAATTTATAAACCATTAGAAAACTCTTAAGGTGTCTTCCTCCACCCCCATAGCAGAACATCAATTTTCAACTATTGTTTTTAACTTTTGGAAGAACTCTTTCAAAAATAGGTGGTTTTCCCCATTGTGTTTAAGACAGAATATGAAACACAAGTATGGGGAAAATTTCTATTATATAAGGGTTAAGCAGCCCTTCTCTCTTTAATCTTGTACATGAAATAATGCTTAGAATAGCAAGAGATATTTCACGTCTTCACTTAGCCAGAATATCAGCTTCAGAATAAAATTTTGTCAAGATTTCTATATAAATTGCAAATCTACTTTCCAATATCCTGCAGAAATGGTTAAAGGTATATTGGGGAAAGGAAGGTAAGTTGTCATGTTCAACAACGGAGCCCCAAGGTTAAAACATTTGTTATTTTCATGGTTTGTTAGAAGTGCAAACCTGGTTTTGTTCCCAAATTTAAGGATAATGTACCATACTGCCTCAATGTAGCAGTTGGGTGCAGACAATACAAAAATACTGATACTTTTTAAGTGATTTATAAGCCGGTATTTTAAAAAGCTTTTAACAGGTGCAGAAGGCTTAAGAGTCCATTTTAAAGAGTCTCTCACTTAGTCTCTTACAGCTAAAGCCTAAGAATTGGACCTGAACTTTCAGTTTTACCCTAAGAAATGTGACTGAAGTATGAAGGGCACATGTCCTTTTACTCAGGATAGTAACGAGTAATGCTGCAACTGTGTCTACATAAGAGCAAAACATCGAGTCAGTTTAACTAAAGTTCAGTCAAACAGGCAGTCAATCATCCAGCTATTTAATTTGCACAAGGCCAACTAATTAGATGGACTGTTTCTGACATGTCATACTGAAAGTAAAACATTCAGGTCTCAAAAATAAAAAAGTTTGAAAATGGGTGTAAAAAATAACCTTTGCTCTTTACCCCTCTCCACCAAATGTTGTGTCTTAAAAAATGTGCTTGATAAAGCAATATATTATCAACTACACAAAAATGGATACATGCAAACATCAGTATAAACACAATATGCTACAAATTCCTTGAGTATAATAATCTAATATTCACTTTCATCATCCCAGCACAATGCCTCTCACATAAATGTTTGATAAATATTTACCAAATGGATTGATCATGTGTATGCAGACCACAATGGAAAAAAACAGTCACAAATAGGTGATAGAAACTTAAGAACAAGATGTGCTACCCATGAGTGAATTCTAGGGGTAGTTATTAGCAATCATTTGGGCCTACAGTGAAAAGTTCTGTGGCATTTTGTTTATCCTAATTGTCTAATAATTAAAAAAAATTAGATTAGGGCAAATGATAGTTATAAATATTTAGGATGTTATTTGGGAAACTTGAAATTAGATATTTAAAAATTCCACATAACAAAGTAATATATCATATATTTCTATCAAAAATATTTCCTGAGGCAGCAGAGATCTATAGTGAGAAAATCAAATATAGGAAAACATACAAAATAATACTCTTTCTCAAGTCTTGCTAACATAAGACTAAGTCATTTTCGTATGGCTTAGACTGGAAGATAGCATGTTACTTGGGAGAAAATTTTAATGTTCTCTATCTATATTTTGACGTTGGCGTGACTTCCTCTTTGAGCTTACAAGCGTTTTTAGGGGCAAAGCATTTTACTTCCACTTACATTAATTATTCTACTGGAACAAAGTTTTTTGTTTGCCGGAAATATGTGGATGGCGTAAACTGATGTTTCAAACTCTCAAACACTCAAGAGCCAATGTAGTGTTTGGCTTAAAGAAGCCAGTGTAGACAGTCTCAGGTGTTTTAGAAACCTTCTGGGGTTTTTTGTTTTTTTTTGTTTTTTTTTTTTGGCCCAGAGCTTTCAATGAGGGGAGTGCCCCCTGGTGGAAATGCTTGAAAATATTGTCAGAAAACATTTTTATTAGTTATAATTACTAAAATAATAATAATAAGAAGAAGTCACTTTAGAATAATTTTAGATGCAAAATGACTGTTATCAGATCCTAGATATGGGAATTCATGTTTTAGTCCTGTTCAGGTTGTTACTTGAATAGCTGCATTCTTATTTATATGCTGAATTCAAGATATGTATGGTCACCATCTCCTATTTCCTACAGTTGGAAGACATAGTATAGACTTGCCAAGGTCATTTGTAGTAACGCCTCACACAGTGGACAATAAGAGTGACCTTTTACCAAAAAAGCTTCATGCTAAAAACTAGTATGCCAAGGCCATACTTATTTATGTCATAGAATATGTGAAACATCAGGACAAAAATATGTCGTCAGTATCATCAATCAATGGTGCTCAACAAATTTAAACTAAATAAAATCATTAGTCATTCTTGTGTCTGAAAAGAACCTGAGAACTTGTACGTTACGTAGGAAGTAGGAAGTTACCAGTATCTCATGAATATTAATTTTATTGAAAACGAGAAGCTGCCTTTCATTGGGACTTCACATCTTACCAATAATTAGATGTGTGCTATATATATGAAAATATAAAATTATTATGCATTGTCATTACATAGTGGTTGAGTGAGAGTTCTATTTTTTTAACTGAAGAATAAATTTACTGCTGAATTCCTAAACCTGTTTTTACATTCCAGAAACAGTTTACAAGTTATTATAAGTAAAATTCATTAGTAATTGCAAAAGAAAGAAAAAAACCTCCAACAAATATTATCAGTATTTCCAAAAGCTAATTATGAATTCTTTAAAACAGCAGATAAGTAAGAGAGACTGCCAATCTGAACAAGACTGTCTGGTCTCCCGTTTGTCTCCTCTTTGAACATAATCACTGATTCAAATAGATTTTATCAGCTTCATGGAACTTCAAAGCCCTCGAAAAGAAAATATGATTTGATGTAACCTCCCTCTTAAAAAGAAAATACATAGAATATTCTTCAAGGCTACCTGCCTCTGTTGTTTGGTGAATTTTTAATCACATGTCCAGGTGAAAGACAATTTTCAAACTCCACCTACTACCTTGGACTCATGCCAAGTAAGTTGTAACTAGACACATTTCTCTCTTGTCGTTTGGCAGGCAAACCAGAGAGCTGTCATGATGGGGTAATAGCAACTTTTTACCTTTTATTCAATAGTGATATGGATAGTGGACTTTTTAAAAATTATACTGTGAAGAATTATAGAAACATAGTAGCAATTTCTGTTAGACTTAAGCAGGCAAATTTCTCTCCACCACATAATTTACAGAACTCAAATTCAATAAAACATTACATGATGGTCCATTACTGTTATCAGTTTTGAATAATCCATCTTCATTCTTTATTTTACTGGAAATTAAAGTGTACCAAAGACAAGGGGAGGGGGAAGAAAAAGGGAGTAAAAGCTACAGAGTAGGATCAGAGTTAAACTCTAGGTTTTATTCTTTTAAAAATTAAAGGGTATTAAAGAATGTATTTGCATGTAACAGAACCTTTAAATAGAAATAAGATAGAAAAGTGAATTGAAAAGCATAAATCTAGAGGCTTTGGCAACTACTTTTAGCCATAGGTTTCCATTAAAAAGACATCAAGTAGGCATAGCTGAATGAATGACATATACTAAAAGCTGGTATCTTCAACAGCAATTAAAGAACATATGTCCATCAATTCAGAATGGGGAAAATTCCTTAAAACAAGTAATCATATAAATTCACCATAAATTTTCAGAAAAGATAGACTTAAAAAAAACAGTCATATGTGAAACTCATAAGAGAGGGTCATGTGTTAATGTAGAGGACCCTATTAAGATGATGAGACAATTCTCAAGAGTTAAAACATAAGACCCAGGATTTTAAAGTTATACAGAGCTGTCAATGATTAAAATAATTCTCAATTTGTAACAGTGTTATCTATCCTATTAATGGTTTAATGCTGTTTATAAGAAACAGTGTCTTTATCTGACCTTATCATATAACTTTGCATTTGTATGTATATATTTAACATTTTTTTTAAGTTGGAGTTGGAATTGCACATTGTACTAGGTGCACACAAATGTGTGATGTGCGATTGAACTCTGCAGAGCTCCTTGCCTATACATATGCATTAGCATGTGTATTTTCGTACTCCACACTCACACCATATCCTCACTCTGCACCTGCTTTTATTGAAATGCATACACTTTGAAATAAACACACTACATGCAGTCGTTCGAATGCATAATCATTAAAAAATAAATGCAGCTGTGTATGTATGTGTGTGGTTTTTAAGAATGACCAATGAAAATACATTCATGCCTGCATGTGCAAAAGCTAGTTCTCAAGGAATTAATATTTAAATATATGTATAAATTTCCTCTTAAGTCAAACAGCTTTAAATATGGCCCTACATCTACTTCGACTGAAAAGTACCAATTATCAATATAAAGCTTTAAAACCCCTCCATAATCCAGGGCACCAAATAATTTTTTTGTAACAACTTTTTTCTAAATTGGCTATTATTAATAAGGAGGTATCTGTAATCAAGCTGTACAAGGTTTTCATTCTTCTCTCACCCTCAGAAAAATTAAGTCACTGTTTTTGATATTAACCACAGAGACGATTACCTTTTCAAAGAGATTAATATGGTATAAAAGAGAAAATTTTGCCTTTCTTCTAGTAACAAATCCTGTAGCTATTGTGGAATTTGTCCTTTTAAGGACCAAAACCAGAACAAATGGCCAACTCCTCATAATGATGTTACAGCTACTGGCTGTACCCAAGGGAAGAAAAGCTGTAATGATGGGTGGCAACTTTATCCTCATTTCTCTGAGTTCTACCCTCTTAGCATTCTTCACTATATCAAGGACACTTACTTAGTGCTTTAAGAAATAACAGCTCAATATTTAAAACACTTACCAATAACTGTATATATACATATCATTTGTGTCTATGTCATGATGTCTTTGTGGGCTTTTAACTCAATTCAAAAAGCATTATTGAACTGTTATGTAGAGGTTTTTTTTCCCTAGGAGGGGGAATTATTAGTAGTTATTATATTTACTAAAATAAAGAATGCTACCAGAAACAGAATACCTAGAGGGTTGACTTTTGAGTCATTCGTTTTCAATAATTATCCCCCAGCTGAATATAGGTGTCATATTAAATTTACCAGCTAATAATGACCACTTTTTTTAAGCTGTAAAGATATGGCATAGGTAAAACCATACAATTTTAACTTGAGTCCATAGCCTTGTGCAACTGCCCTTTTAAATAAACAGGCAAACGTACAAAAAACAGATGAATCAACTGAAAACAAACACTGAATTAAAGGCTTTGTCAGGTCTCCTACTCCCAATCTAGTTAAGGCAAGCCAAAAAAAAAGTCACAGCTGGGATTCTCCTAGGTATGGAAACTCTGCCAACTAGGAATTAATACTAGATTATTTCTGTAGCAGAATTTTATTCTTTTAATCACGTAATAAACAAAATAACTTAAATTTGAGAGGAAAATGTGAGCCAGGACCAAAAACAAGATAAATTGACAAAAGAAAGAACAGTGGTAAAACAAAAAAGTTGCAAAGACATAATGTCCTCATTCTAATCCAAGTTATTGTTTTTTTGTTTGTTTTTGGTGTACCTGAGCCAAAATTAAATACCATATATATCATGTATCACACTAGTTTCCAAACAAAGAAAAAAATTCTCATTCACAGTTCAACAGAGTCAATTTGTTTAGGGCTTCTCAAATACCTTTATCTTATGACCTCTCATATACATCACTTTTTCTCCATGACTCTCTTAAACATATTCCATGCTGATAGATAGTATCATCACAGGAATTGGCCCAGGAGGACACAAGTGTGCACATTAGGTGTATAACCAGATAGTAAGATCTCTAAAAATGGGTCTGCAAACTAAGGCCTGCCAGCCACACTTACTCCATGGTCTGTTTCGTAAATAGTTTTACTGAAATACTACCATACCCACTGCCATTCATTTATTGTCTATGGCTGCTTTATTACTCTACAGTGTGACAGAGATTTTATGTGCTTCGAAACTTAAAATATTTACTATCTGGTCAATAACAGAATAAAGTCTGCTGATGCCTGGTCTAGAGAATGAAGTTTGGAAGACAATAACATGAGAGAGAGCACAAAGCTTAGAAGCATTTTATATTAATGAGTCATATACTCTTTTTCCAAAATGGCTGCTTAGAATTAAGTGGATTATTGCTCCCAAGGTCTTAACAACAACAACAACGGTGTAGTAGAACTTTAACAGGGAACATTTATATACTTAAGTTTGTTATCAGTAGAACATGAGCCTTAACCAAGTCATAAAACTCTTCTTAACCATCTACTACAAACAGTTTATGATTCTATTACATAAAAGCATAGGTAATGCCAGTTTAAAATATGTTTGACATTTAATTAGTCTCTCAAAGCCCCTGAGTTGGGAACAATCTGCACATAGGTTTCCTTTGTTTCAGAAATATATCATAGGAAAAGGAGTGATAAAATTGAGGCACCACCTGGAACAGGTAATATGATCACATCAAGAGAGAGAGAAAATGTTAGTAGAGTAAAAGAATAAACTTTAGTTATAGATGGAACTAAAGAAAGAAAAGAGGAGACAGCACAGAACCATTTATGAAACACAACTGACCTGAGTTCTGTTAAAAGCCACACGTGCAAATACTGCCTGGGAGATTCCTGCTCGTTTCAGTTCATCGCGTACCCACTGGTAGATTTCGGAAGACACCTCTGTGTTGGTTGAAACCTGTTGCTCCAAAGGCTTATTCATAGATCTACTGACAGGGGGAGGGTGGTTCAAGTATTGTTGGTTTAAGGACTGCTGGGCTAAAAGTCTATTCACTGCATACTGCTGGTTCAGTAGCTGAGCCATCACCAGCTGCTGGTTGACCAATTGAGGACTGATAGGCGTTGATACGAGCCCAGGGTGCAGGTTTGGAAGAGGGGTCCGGACGGAGGGCTGACTGCCATGGGATAGCTGTGCAGGGGATGGAGGCTGCTCGGCTGTGTTTCCTGGAACCGGTTGCTGGCCAAAATTGACATGATTGGCGCCTTGCTGGGATAGCTCAGAAAGACTATCCATTTCAACTAAAATGGACAAAAAGTAAAATCGCATTCAACCAACAATAATTGGCATCGATAAAGATTTCTAATCACTTCCTAAATTTAAAAAGGGGTAGGCTCAGGGCATAAGTTGCAACTTACCACGTTGTGTTTTTGCTCTCCTTTCCTGAAAAATTCTATAAACTTTGGAAGTGGGACAGCACTTCTGATCTCATTTTTAAAATGTGGTTTAATTTAAGGCATAAAATCAATTATACCAAATTCTTTCCAACTAGTTGTTCACTCTCACTTATTACCCCAAGAAGGCTTATAAGCAACAATGTTTTAAAATGGCTTCTAAAAGAATGTCATTTGCTTAATGACAACTATAAACAGTTAGCTGAGCTAAGAAAATAAGCTTATCATAAGCAACTAAAAAATGTACAAATATATTCTCATGATATTCATTACCTTTAGTACTCCAGGAAAAAGGTGTAAAAGAAAAAGTATGACATAAAATGTTACCTACTTTCAATTTTTACCTAGCAGTGAATAAAAGTAGTCAATGTAATAAATAAAAATCGGTACAATGATAATAATAAAGGAATGTATATTGAACACTGTGCTGAATATCTTACATGCCTGGTTTCACTGTTTCATTTTAATTCTAACCATCATGGGCGGTAGGTATATCTGGAAATACTTTTTAGAATAAAGCAAGTGATGTATTGTGCATCAAGCCAGCATAATACCCAGTGTTGCTAAGATCCAAATGTTTTTTCTTCAGGAAGCTATGACCATCACCAGTGCAAAAGACAATCTTGCAGGGAATCGTTCTGGTACAATGGTGATGCTGTCATGATTTTCCAATTTATTCCCACCTACCCAGGATGAATGCTTCTCCCTTGGCTAGGTCCCTCAAAAGGATTGGCTGAGCGTCATCTCTAAGTGTGTAAATGCTTTGCTGTACGAGGAGGAGACTGGTCTGATGTTCTTGACTGGAAAGGCTGAGCATGAAGCTTTACGTAAATAAGACTTTCCAAACTGTACACCAACTTCCCACGTATAGACTCTAGTTTGATTTTAATCATCAATTCTCTTTTCATTAAATATGCAGGTTTTATATTTAGAGGAACTTTATCATAGTGCTATAGCTCCTGATACATGAAAAACATAACTAAGAATTGGGGAAGAAACCTTCCATTTCTACCAGTGCTATCAGCCCAAGTGGGCCATTCACAGAGAATAGTAATTCAAGCAATTATTCCAAAAATGATGCATTGTCTTCATTACAGCTCTAAGCTATAAAAGGCAAAGAATCCATTTTGGTAGACGGATGGTTTCTCTTCCAATATTAAGAGCTAAAACATGCTCAACATTTGCATTTTCTTATTTCTTAAAAATTTTTTAGAAAAAAATTAAATGAATGTAAAGGAATAAACAGAAATAGATTTAAAACAGGACATAATGCGCATTCCTATACTACCTTAAAATATATTTTTGGAGGGTACAGGTATGTGAAGGAGAATATTAATAAAAATTAAAGCATTAACCTTAATCACAGTGTTTGCTTTTGAGAGCATTAACAGACTCAACAGGGAGAAAATGCCGTAATCTAAATACTTAGGTACCATACATAACTTTTATCTGTCATTTTACACTGCAGATTTTAGTGTACTTCTTACGTAACAAATACTCACCTAAAGTTATGTGTTAAGACAAAATGCCATCTTGGAATTAAAGTTTAGAAATGAAACAATTATTGTTCTGGTATGGATGGTAAAGCAATATGCTTACCAAAGTGCCCATCCATGGAAGGTGGGGGTTAGAGGGATAAAAATCACTTGATCTCTACTGTGGAAACTACAAATAGAGTTTAATTCAAGAAGTTTAATTTCCTTAAAAATTGGTTATAAAAACAGGCACTTTCTCATTCCCTCAGACAAAAACAAAAAACCTAAAAGCAGGACTTATCACTGAGAGAAATCACAGCTAATATTAGTTATTCAAGGCCTGGTTAGGTCTTCACTGAGATGTTAAAAAATGACAGCTCCCCTCCTCACGCCTCGATTTCCTGCATGTCTGACAACCAAGTCAGTTTGGCTGATTTAAACACAAACATTTATTGAATTTAATTATCTCATTATACTCATACCCACTTCCCACCCCTAAAGAAACATTCTAAATTGATCTCTAATTGGGCAATCAAAAGACCTGGCTTTAGATGTGACTTTGATAAACCCCCAAATGACATGTAATGGTATGTAGCCACTGCTGTAATGTTTTTTTGCTTACCCATCATATCTTTTGTCTTCTTGAAATGTTTGTACCACCTTCCAAATTCTTGACATTTTGCTGCTGAGACATTTGCATAGTAAGTGCTGTTCACAATGGAAGAAATCATACTCTGCATGAAGAAGGGGGGAGAACATTTGTAATACACAGAGGCACAAGATGGAACACAGAAATGATCTCAATTGTATTTTTTTTAATCAACTGAGTACCAACACATTTTTGTTTCACACTTTAGCCTAAAGCTTTGATTTCTTGAAATTCATTAAGTAGATCATCAGATGCTTATTTAAGTAGAAATTAACAGCCCACTGAGACCAGCATAAAGCTATCAAACCCACAGACTTTGCTCTAGCATTTATTGAATCTCCATCAATGTTATCTATTCCTAGACTGTCAAACTTTCACTGGTCCCAATAAATCTAAATACATGAAGATGACTTTGTAATTGTGATTCATAAATATACACGACTTGGCGATTTTTTTGACTGAACTCTACATCCTTTCTCCTCCAAATATAGACCAGGGACCAGCAATATGGGCATCACTTGGAAGCTTGTTAGAAATGCAGAATCCTGGGCCCTACCCTAGACCAGGACACTCAGCATCCGTATTTTACCAAGATCCCCAGGGATTAAAATTTGAGAAACAGCACTTGTACTTTTCACTCTATTATTTTAAAGTGGAGGTGCATTAACACTGTTCAAAGGTTAACTGACCATATTTGAAAAGAAACAAACTAGTCACAGAGATCCTTTACCAAGAGAAAGACATTCTGCAATCTTATTACTGGCTTCATCAATAGTAAAGCTTAAGTTTTGAATTTCAAACTGACCATAAAAATTTTAAATTTATACATTTCACGCTACTAAATTTCTCAAGGATACCACAAAAAAGATGACCTATTGTGACTTTTCTTTACCCTGCTTTTAATAAATTTAAATCCTGCTTTTACCCTGAAAACAGGGTCAACCCTTTAATATACAAAAATGAAGACATGATTTTATTACTGGGAGGTTGTTGTTTTTTTTTTTAAATCATTTTCAACAAGTGTTTTCCTCCCAGAAAATTTTGGTTATGGTAAACGAAATTCGAGGTCCATTTTAACCTGTTACCCATATTCTCTAGTAACAGCTTAAGTTAGCTGTTAGTAGGAAATATGGGTCTTAAGAGGAAGACTTTGTAGCACCAATCCATCCCTCACCCCTATGTGTAGAAACAGGAGAACTCGAATTTCAGACATCAGTTGGTCTATAGTGAAATAGTTTACAGAAGGCAGCATTGTTCTGGGAGGCAGTGAACAACCAGAAAAGCCAGTTTGGGGACAAAAGTATTTTTATATAATTATCTTCTTTAAGTTACCTCTAATGTAAAGCTCTTTTGGTTATTATTCATTCTCCTGACATCCACTATTAGTTTTAATTCTGTAGCATGCACACATTTCCGTAATATGTAAATTTGGGGGATCTCTAAAGAACTTCCAGTGAAGGATAAGCTGAAGTCGCATTATTTATGTAAAACACAGCTATCTTTCCTAAGAGGCACGGTGATACCTTTTTTTTTTTTTTTTGACACTTTCTACTTTATAGTCATTTTCACATTTTATATCTCTAAAAAGACATTCTTAATGTGTTCATGATGTTCTGCCATTAATCCAATAGCTTGCAATTTCACTAAGAGCCTCCCACAGTCCACAGTGTAAAAAGACACTTAGCAAAGTTGCCAAAACCAGAGCCAGAAGATTACCTGATCTGTCAGCTTCGATCTCACTTACTCTCTTGTAATAAGGGATCAATAAAGTCAGACACTAATAAAAACTATTGAGATTGCTGATGGATAATGGTGATTCTTCTGCAAATGGATGACAGTTCATGTTCTTCCACTCTGGTCCAATTTTTTTTTTAAATGATTACTCTTTACCTAGACATTCTGACAGTTCCTTAAGTGTTAATATAACAACACATGGAAGTTTTAGATGTGGTTTATGTCTTACTTTTTAGAAGTGTATGGAATATCTAAATTTTGCTGAGGTTTTTGACAAACATCCAGTATACTTCAGTTTGCCAACAGTTCTATATATGAATATTCTCTTTGCTGCACACCTACCATATCCTGGCTGGTACTAAGGATGCAAAGATGGGTAAGACACAGCCTCTGCCTACAAGAAGTTTACTATCTATTAAGAACACAGATATGTAAATAGATCATCTCAATTTAATGTGATTTGGTGTATCAACAGTGGAAAATGTATAGGGGACGAGGGAAGGAAGAAGAATTCATGGTGTGTGTGAAAACAGATCTGAAATAGTTTTATAAAACTAGATGCTGGATGTAGTAGTGTGATATAGTTTATTATTATCCATACATGGAAAATAATATCCATATGTGCATCATCATCGAAGCTTCCCCCTACCCTGCTTAACCCTAAAGCGGTAGGCTCTGGGCTTGAGTGCTTTTTCTGTCACATGGTGTATGCTTAGGAAACTCTGATTAGTGTAAATAATAGCCTAACACAGATATGAAAGGCTAATCCATAACTTATAATGCACGACAAAGCAACTTTTTGGATTCCCTACCTTTCTGTGCTTTAGAGTGACTGGGAACTATTTCCTAATTCAGGTAACTTAGAGTCACGTCTTTTTTTATTGGAACAACATGCAATAATCTGTCCAATGAGATTGCTCATATAGCTACCTCAAGAGGGTGTGTGTGTGTATGTGTGTGTGTGTGTGCACGCGCGCGCACGTGACACGTCATGCATGTGTTGATCAGGTGGTAAAATCCTTACTAAAAACTGAGGCATAGCATTGGAGTAGACCAGCCAGCTGGTTTCCAAGGCAGGGAAGAGACTGCAGAATTTTGTGGTGCACATGCATTTGAAAATCATATTCAATAGTGTAATCTTAGAGTACCAGGAAAGAAGTAACTATTCTTTTGATAACACAAATAAAAGAAAGTCATAGTTGGTAATATTTTCCTAGGTGGTGGGGATGTACAGGTAGTAGACCAAGTTTCATGTTAGAAAGGCTTGGGATTCTTGTGTCACTTAAAAGGAGGTACTGGTTTAAAAAGACTGCACTAAGCTGTGAGTTCACGCAGGTCTGGGGTACCATATAATTTTCTAGCTCAATGCCTGGCATATATCAAAATAAACACTAAATGTTCATCTGACAAAACAGAATAGAAATAAACATACATTCAAGTAAGGATGTATCACACACTGGCAGTAGGACCTTGGGTCAAATAGTTGACCATTCCATCAAAATTTCCTATGCTAAATGGGAATGATAATAGCATACATCTCATGGAGTTGTTCTGAGAATCCATCCATTCAGGCATGTTTAAAATTAATTCAGCATGTACTTATTTAACTTCTACTACATGCCGAGCACTGGGCAAGTCAGTAGGAAAATAATGATGTGAAGAGACATACTATCTACCCTTGGACAGACAATAAATAATAGATGTGTTACAATTAGCAAAGAGCTTGTAACATATTACGTATAGACTTAAGAGATATTAATTACTATGACAACCCTCTGCCGCCTCCTCATCACTGGGCTTTCATTATATGATCACATTTCATATCAAGTGACTACAGTTTAAATATCAAAGGAGTATCAGGTAAAATTTTCAAATGATATACAGTATTTTCAGTGTAATGCAGAATGAAGTATACTGATGAAATTATTAAGTTACAAGTTGGGTCAAGTAATAATAAGGGAAAACACCAAGGGGAAATACACCATTTCTTCTCATACTCCAATTTGGTGGTGTTTTTTTGAAGCTGGCCTGTATCTGGCAGACAGCATCAAAAAGGTACATCACTCCTCTGGCTTGGATGCATGACCCATGCCCTCTTCCATCTCTAGCTAACAGTTGCTCATCCTTCAGGGTACAGCCTGGGCATCCTTGCTTCTATTAGGCCTTTCCTAACTTCCCTGCACCAGAGCATCATCCTGCTGTTTATTTTTCACTGAACTGTGAGCCTTAGGACTCATCTCAATACATCCTGGATTCACTACAGGGCTGGACACATACTAGGTGATCAATGAAAAGGGTCACTAAAAAAAGTCATTACTGCAAGCCACCAGAAATACTCTTCCCTCTTTTTCCCCTTAAAGGTCAAAAGTAATGGCAGCTCAACTGTTGTCACACGAATCTTTCAAATCCATCGCTTTGGCTGTCGTGACAGAAATCATAGTTTCAAGAACCTTTGTTCATTAATTTGCAAGAGATCCCTTCCCAGGTTTTTCAAAATACATCCACACAGATGTCTCGGAAGTTGCAGTGCTCGGTGGTTATGTTATTCCAGTTCTCGCTCAGTGTCTATTTATATGAGCTATCCAAAGCACTTTGAAAAAGACACAACTTGTATGGCAAGTTTCCTATTCAGTGGCTGGTCTGTATAAAACATCAATGATCACTGAATAAAATAAACCAACTGACAAAACTCAGTCGGTTGAAATCCCAAGTTCAAATGCTACACGGTATACCAACCAATAAATAGGCCACAGCTTCCAGTGTTGGGAAATACAATTTCAAAGTCGGCATAAATTGGCTGTGGGTCTCATAACCCCAGTGTGACACAATATTCTCATCCTAGGAGCCAAGTTGTAAGCTTTTCTAAGATCCATAAAGCACATGTCTACTCCCTATGAAGAGCTTCGGTTCTTTCTGAGAGTCTGCTGAAGTTCCGATCTGAAAGAATGCCATCTTCACAGAAACCCCAGTACTCTAGAATGATACCATCTGCCACAGGCTGAGCTTCCTTTTCAGCCAAATACATTATTTATAACCTTTCTAATTGTGAAAAGGTAAGGGTGGAATTTTTCTAAAGCCTAACTTAAAGATAGATAGAACATTCTGAACCTTTGCTCTCAAATACTGTAGCTCTTTTAAATTTGAAAAACAAAAACCACACGAAATCAGTTGAAGTTACATAATTTTTCAAAAAATTATATTCCTGTAAACCCCTGCTAGAGTATCATATATACTGTAGGTATATATTTATAACACATTTAAAAAATGAAGAAAGATCATTTTATTTTTCTACTTGTTCATCTTAGTAGCCAATGAAGGGGTTTTTTAGAGAGGTGAGGACTTCCCAAAAAA